CTCACTGATATGACGTTGAGGGCAGCAGCTGTTTCAACTTATTGATTAAGAGCGACACCAATATCATAGACACAGCATGTGCATATTTTATATAGAAATAAACACTACACGCAACAAAACCAGGAGCAATCGTAATAACAACAGCAACAACAGCAACAACAACAGCAGCAGCAGCAATAATAGCAGCAGTAATGACAAATGCAACGGTTGCTGCTAACAATACCTCGTCAGGACGACGAGAAAGATGATGGGAAACTGAGAGCTTGAAGAATAAAGGAGCATTTATCATGAGACAGTGAATACTTGCGTGTGTGGAGGGAGAAGAGACCGTGGTGCCCTAATTTTTTCATGAAATGTACATGTATTAGAATTAATGCATGAACACAAGACTCCATAAACAGATTATTATTCCACAAAGCCCAGAGATATCTACTATTTATCCTATCCCCCCTCATTCACATAGACCCATGTAGGTATTAAGACAATTGCTCATTATACTTTCAGATACCAGAAGTCGGAATGAACCGCCACGGGTACAATTACATTCTAGGGACGTTGGTAAGTCTTGGAATATATTCAGAACATTGTGATAATGGAATGTCCTGTATTCCCCTGTCTTCCGACCCTCTCTGTGTTCTGGGATATATCACTGTCTCCATTAAACTTATGAAAACATAGCATACGTCTTGAAACACATTTAGTGGGTTTTTTCTACCATCATACTCGTATAACTTCGTAAAATGAATGTAAGTTGAAAGGAAACATCAGAGTCGAATAAGCTTTGACCAAGAACATTTTTGGTCTGTTTTTGTTCTTTTCTTGTTTGTTTTATCAAGTCCTGTAGTGCTCTAATAAAAGTAAATGCAGCGGGGGGTGTTTGATTTGTTTGTCCGATCTTGTCCATTTTGTCTATTTTTAGCTTTTATTTACGACTAGCTGGGATCCCTTTCGATGAAAGGAATGACCGGTGCATTAACATCAACTGAAAGTCATTGGCCTACTATATTCACACTCTACTGGAATGGAGCAATAAATCTTGAGATAAAAGTGACACGTGTGTTTTCAAGCTGCCAAATATATAATGTATAGATTGATTCTCTATTCCGCTTTAATGATTGTACATTCCATAATTTCAAAGGCGAGAACAGTGCGCACGGCTAGGGAACGGAAACCTCACTTGTTTACAATGACGTCTTAGAAGACGGACTTTCCCAAGATTAGATATAAACGAAACTAATGAAAAACTGAAAATTAAACTAGTCACTTCAGGCTCCTCAATGAAACGGTGAACCCTTTAAATGATTCTGAGCCACCATTAATTTGGCCAAATTTTAAAGTTAAGTGGTTCGGAAGTTTAAGGCGGCCAAAGTGGCGAACTTTCACAAATATAATATATAGAGATAGAGATTACAGTTTTTGTGAAGAGTTGAAGAATAGTTATTAAGACTGGCTCCGAAATCAAAGACAATTATTAGTAATTATTTGCCAAGAAGAATAGCTAACACTAGACTTGTGACTAGGAGAATAACTATGTTAATATAAACATCTTCCTTGTCAGAGGAGTTACTTTAAAGCTTCTGAGCGCCTTTAAAGAAGAAGAGCAAGATTTTTTTAATCGCTTTAATGCAGACAGAGTGAAATGTGAGATTTCAGTGCCAGAGTATTGACGTTTGTTGCGTCGTTTCTAGTTTTGGTAACAAAAGTCTTACGTTCTGGTACATTTTGTATGGTTATTTTCTTATACTCCATGGTGTGATGGTTAGCCTTGTCACCATTGCGCACAAGAGGCATGAGTTAGACTAGCACTTTGGAGACATCTATTTTATCGCTCATCTCCGTCTTTCTGCTTGGATGTTGTATCCTACTCAGTCCAGGCGGTCTCTGACAGGCAGGTTTGAAGCACCCCACCTCTTTCTTATTGATTCGTGTTGGTATGGATGTACAATATAAACAAGTAATCAAATCCTAGTTCGCTGTACTATTGACAATCTGCAAACTCGTCTTATACCCTGTAGAGTGCGATATCATCGTTTTTCGTTCAACACCAAGACATTCTCCACTTCCCTGTTTACTCCCCCCCCCCCCAAACCGCCATTCCCCCTTTCCAGAATTCTCCTTCTTCTGCCCTTTTCTCTGATTCTTTTATTTTATTTTGGCAACGCCAAAGCTCTATTAGATTGTTTCGTCCTCCATACAATATCGGTTAATGAAAATACATTTCGATTCTCGTAACGAACTCCTAGGAACGTGAGTGGGAATATTACAACCAATATACGAATCGGAAACAGATTGACTTAGACCGGAATTCTAACAACGTTTACTGCCAGGTCATCGAAGAAATTAGATCATCTCACGTCGAACCCTAAGTTCATTTTCTTTCCTTTCATGTTTCGATCTCTTATATTTAGTGTCCTCCCTTTACTCTCCCTCCGCCCAACACCCGTTCATTCTCATATCACTGAAGTAGACATAAATGTTGTTACCCGAGAGCGCAACTGAG